GTCAACCCGTTTTATTGAATAAATAACTTCATTATGTGAATAAGTGTCTCTGAATCAACATAGCAGCAATGCCCAAAACAACTCAAGGTATTTGGCTTCAAGTAAAACAAGAAGATGATTCCACCTTTAGAAACGTAGCAGCGACAACCTTAACCTGTCGGCACCAACGTCCGGCCTGAAAACAAAAAGAAGACCCGAATCACAAATTTGTCCTTTTAAGTCACAATGATTTGGTGTGAAAACCTAAAGACAAAAGAGAAACTACTGCAGGTGCTACATTTTGTTTTATTGCTTTACCGTTATTTCTATACAATCATATGTGTGATACAACGGTGCTTGTCACCCTGGTAACCCAGAAAATGAGGAGCTTCAAACTGTTGTGAGACATTCATATATTCATATTCAAAGTTCAGATTTTTCAACTTGTGCGTCCAACACGAATTCACGTCAAACGGGGCGAGAATCATGTCATTCACGCCGACTTTACATGTAAATCATTCCTGCAAATGATTTTTACTAATGTCTGGTGTGAACACAGCATAAAAGTTTTTCAGGAGTTTGCAAAGACACTGGGTTTGCACATGTACACTCTTGCCACTGTAGCATAGTTGTCATAGTTGAGACACAAATATTGGGGTGCTTGTAGAGAGGTCTTCGGCAAATTACAATATTTACGTCACACACCCTCGTGAAGGCTTGCATACTTGCAGATGTGTCAGTGCTGGAGAATGGTCTGACTGCACCACATCATTCTGCTATAGGTGAGAAAAAACTTCTGAAGTGTTTGGATTCCTTTGAAACAAATCACAATTATCTAGCTAAGCCCAGGATGCAGTGATGGTGCCCCAAAATAGAGTTTAACATTTGCACACTGGGACTCAAAAGTGAGCCATGCAGGGCTGCACAGTCCAAATCTTCATCAAAACCTTCTACTTTCAGTGTGTAAGTTGCTGCTCAGAGGCTGTTGTTGGGGATTTTAAAACTAGTGACACACAGGTAGTGTACAGGGAGTAGAAAGTGGAATGTGTTCCGGAAATGCCAAATGTATATTTTAAGCCTACATCTGGTGAGTCAGACTATGGAGAGTGTAATACTGACTTAACACTGGCCCTACGTGGATTTTAAAATGTATTTCCTTCCAATCATAATGTAGAATGCATTTTAGTTGTATAGGAACGTCACTTTTGGAAGACATTTTTAGGAATAATGCTTGATAGTGTTGACCTTCAAGCTTTCTGTGATTTCAAGGACAGTGAAATATGAAATCTTTTCTGACAGAATTGATTTAAAACAGTAGCAGCGTAAATATTCTGCCACTTTTGCAGAATCATGCAGAATGGTGCAATGGGTTATTCATCCTGAAATCAAATAATCTTAAAACACAAATTACAGACACAGTGGCAGTTTCATCACTGCACACATTTAACCAGCACAAACACTGGAGACCATGACTTTTTGTATATTTTTGAGTTTTTGTTGTTGTTCTGTCTCTCACCTACTGAGTTCTTCTTGTAGAAAATCAGCCCAGCAACAAAAACCAGCAAACCCAGCAGCAGGCCTGCACCTCCAACAGCGAACTTATTCCTCTCTGATTCATCAAATAGTTCTGAAAACACATTTATCGCAAACAGTGCATTAGATTTACACGCAATTTTACCAAATGTCTTCTACCTCCATGTTTGCCTCACTATCTCACCCCAGTCGTAAAGTTTGGGCTCCTTGAGGCTGGCGTGGTCCACCTTGCAGCTGATTTTCTCTCCGGGTGATGGGGTAAACTCCAGGTAGGAGTGGATCTGGTAGTACCAGTTTCCATTGGACAGCTCCTCGGTGGACAACACATCAGTTTTCGTCTCTTTTCCGTTCCTGAGCCACGACAGTTGGATGAGTTTGGGATAAAAATCGTAAGCGCTGCAGACGAGCATGTTGGGATGTCGGCCTCCTGTTGCCTCCACTAAGGTCAGCTTCACAGTAGGTTCAACTGGAGGACAATACCCACAGATAAAACCATTTAGCAGAAAAGAAAATAGCATTTGTTTCTGTTTCTTAGATTGCAAAGTACAGTGTAAGTACACTGCTCAAAAAATAAAGGGAACCCTAAAACACCATATCCTAGACCTCAATGAATGAAATACTCCAGTTGAAAAACTTTACTCATTACATAGTGGAATGCGAGAACAAAACAGAAATATGATCAATGTAAATCAAACTTGTCCCATGGAGGTCTGGATTTGGAATCATAGTCAAAATAAAAGTGGAAAATCACATTACAGGCTGATCCAACTTCAGTGGAAATTCATCAAGACAAGTCAGAATGAGGCTCAGTAGCGTGCGTGTGTGGCCTCTACATGCCTGTATGACCTCCTTACAATGTCTGGGCATGCTCCTGATGAGGCAGTGGATGTTCTCCTGAGGGATCTCCTCCCAGACCTGGAAGCCTCTGGCCAGCCCATGGAGGGCTGTGTGGCCCTCCAAAGAAATGCCTCCCCACGCCATTACTGACCCATGGCCAAACCAGTCATGCTGGAGGATGTTGCAGGCAGCAGAACGTCACGTCTGTCAGTGTGTACTGCTCTGCTGCCCTGTACCTCTGTAGCCATCAGTTACACAATTCTACAATTACAAATACAAACAGACACTTTTATCCAACGTGACGTACATCTGAGAGCAGATACAACACAAGTCAGGAGACAACAACCTGCATAAGTGCTGTTGAACAAGTTCAAGTGTGATAGGGCGTTTGATGCCAATAGCAGGCTGTAGGGAGGTAATGGGACATTTTTTGTTTGTTTTCAGTCTGTCAAATGAAGGTCTGCTAAATGAAATTGTAGAATTGCAAGCCATCAGGCAGCGCTAAGCATCAGAGTCTTTGAGCGTACGCGACATTGTGAGGCAGGGTGGAGACAACGATGGAACCCCAACCGCACACAATGAGTACATGTTTGTATCATTAGTGAGGCAATTGCTGAGGCGTCTAAAAATAGAATGTTACAGGTATATGTGAACAAGTTAGATCTGCTGAGTTTATGGGTCGTTGAGCAAACTCTTTCATGATAGCTTGCAGGCAGTGTAACTACTGAGGCACAGGGCAGCAGAGCGGTAGCAGCCACGATGAACAATCCTGTGAGCCTGAGCTCAGGACACAGAAACGCTGATTTTCAGACACTCTCCAGTTTCAGATTCTCTCATGGTAGAAGTGTAGCAAAAGTCATGTGTGAAAAGACAGCCAATGGTGAAGCCACTCAACTCAAATACATAGACTTTTCAACTACAAATATCTTTGTATGCACTGACAACTAATATTACATGTCAGAATCTTAATACAGATGAGGCAGTTTTTTACACATTTGAGAACCTGATGACAGACAGACAAATTGTGAGACGACTTTTGTAGATTCCGGTTCATATTGACAACTTCTTTCACACATTGACAAATCTCACTTTAGACCAAGGGATTGAGATACAGACAGACAACGCTCCATACGCATGGACAAATAGTTTTGTTACAGTAATGCCCCCATATCTTTCAGTTCAGAAAAATATTTAAATATTTCCTCCAACGTTATGCTTTCATTGAACTGTAACAGTAATTTTCTGCATTAACTTTCCCTGTAAATCTCTCCTAAACGTGAATTTGTCTCCCAGTTACTCACCTGTCGTCTTCTTTCTCAGCACTTTTATGGGTATTTAATATCACAGACATAATACATTTACAGGCTGCTGTAATCTGGAGCATTATCAACCAAATCACCTGGTTTTGAGATCTTGTCAAGCACCCATGAGATGTGGAATTTACATATGAGGAACTTAATCTTTTCTTGGTCCAAGGCTTTTTTGTCTTTGTTGAGTGCCTCTGCTTTCTCATGTGCTTTCTCGGTGTAGCCAGTGTACTTTCCCAAAGTGCTGTTGTACTGCCCCAAGAGCAACTTATTGAAGTAGATCTGCTCCAGATAAAGGACGTCTTCAGTGGATGTGAAGAGGCAACGAAGCACACCGTGAGCAAAGACAGCGTCTGTAACAACCACAACAAGGATTAGAAAAGTTCTCTGTTACTCCGACACAGCAAAATCTAAAATTTAGAGATGTTAAAGCTTGTTTGTGTTCTGTCTAAAGTTACTTACCCGCTCTTGAAAACACCATGAAAACACCCAGCAGGGACAAAAATCCGTGAACCCTCATGCTGATAAACTGGAGACGACAAATGAAAAAAAAAAAAAGGAAGCAGACTGAGCTCGATCTGGAAACACGAGGAAGTGAAGCAGTCGAGTGTTCTTTGTAAGCAGGTGTGACACATAAGTGGGCGTGGTGTTTGTGTGAAGGGATTTACTTGCTTATTTCTTGTTAGATTCGTGCAGATGTTTGATTCGTTAAACACAAACAACACTCTCAGGATTTTCTATTTTTCTGTACTAACCATAGGATGCACCCAGTGTGTCACAAATGTAAACCTTCTGTGTATTTAAACCCTGCGACGGACCGAGCTGCAAAGCACGAGGACTTGCAGTGGAACATGTTCAGTAAAGCTGGAAAGATATTCAAAGTTTAGAACTTGCGGCATCAATAATGTTACATTTAGATCTAGCGCTGTAGTACAACCAGAGGAAGGTCACTGATGTGTGATGAGTTTGGAGGCATTGCAAGCAATAAATGTAATGTTATTGAGTTTTTTTTAAAGCATTTCCATTCGCCGGGGTTATTTGTTGACGGTCCCTGAGCTCTGGCCTGTCTGTGAATTAACAGAGCTGGTGTTTCCTTTTACATAAAGACATTTCCACCAGAAAAGGAACAAAGTGGAGCATAAAACTGAACCCGAATGCAGGAAATTCAGTGTTTAATGCTCAGAAACTCCAATGTTGGAACAAAACCCACAGTCATNTTCATGTTTCACTGTCCTTGAAATCACAGAAAGCTTGAAAGTCAACACTATCAAGCATTATTCCTAAAAATGTCTTCCAAAAGTGACGTTCCTATACAACTAAAATGCATTCTACATTATGATTTGAAGGAAAAACATTTTAAAGTCCACATAAGGCCAGTGTTAATTCAGTATTACACTCTCCATAGTCTGACTCACCAGATGTAGGCTTAAAATACATGTTTGGTATTTCCGGCACACATTTTACGCCACTTTCTTTTAGTTTTCAGGCCAGATGTTGTTGCTGACAAGTTAAGGTAGTCGCTGCTACGTTTCTAAAGGTGGAATCATCTTCTTGTTTTACTAGACGCCAAATACCTTGAGTTGTTTTGGGCATTGCTGCTGTGTTGATTCAGAGACACATATTCACGTAATAAAGTTATTTATTCAATAAAACAGGTTGACTAAATCAAAGAAGAAAAGCCAGATGGACTATTTAAATCGTGTCTTTATGTAAGGCGTTATGTGGTTGTAGAGAATGAAAGTCTGATCATTTGACTGTGAAAGTTATTCTTTAGTTTATACGCTGAAAATATAAATGCAACTGCACACTGGCTTCAATGAGGTCACAGAGCCACAAAGAAATAGTCTTAGTAGTTTATTCCCTTCCTGCATCAGCTGCTTTGGGTCTGTTTCTGGCTGATTTTTCTAAACTCTTTTTTAATTTTTTAAATGAACTTCTCATGCCAAGACACTTCTCATGGAATTCACAAGGATAAACTACTTCATTTATATGTCAGCTTTGAAATATGCAACATTAAATACATATTGTTCTAATTTGCCTTTTATTGTGTATGCATTGAATTTACATGTGTTATTTGTTGAATATATGTAAAGGATCTTGTATCATGCATGATGCTGTTGATTCAATACAAATAAAAGAGGTTCAGCACTTATACAGGAGAACTTCCTCATTTGGTAGCATCATGGCTCCAGTTTGTTTTGCTCTTGTTGTCTTGAGCAGAAACTTTGATCGATGTTATCAGTAATAAACTGATCAAATCTCTCATGACTGCAGCGAATCCACTGGTAAAGAAATGTATTTCTCTGTGTAAAACACCAGGGGGCGTAGTCCGTACATTATATGGTGGATGCATTCATACGAAGGCCTTGTCCACATGTAGCAGGGCTTTTATAAAACTGAATATCCTCCACCCTACACACCACCTCGTTTTTAGAAAAATAAAAAATTCATCCAGGATTCCCTCTTCCTCCTCCCTCCGTTTGCTTTGGAGCTCAGAGTTTTCTTTTGGGTGTGTTTTCAAGTGTTTAAATAAGTTTGTGGTGTTGCCACAATATCATAAACGTTTCCTGCAAATATTGCAGGTTGCAGTGTTTGGAATCTACAGCTGTGAAACAACACCAAACGGCGCTTCTCTTCTTCTCTGCAGATCGCTGAGTGTCTCTGAGTGATGAGACAGACAGCGGCAGGTAACAGAGTAGCAGGGAGCGGAGGGAAGGGCAGAGGAGAGGAGAGACGTGAGCAAGAGGAGCGAAGTGAGGGAGAGAAGCGAAGTGGGTGAGAGGAGTGCGCGCGAGGAGCAGCGTTTGCTTAACTACGGTTGTTGAACGTAGAGAAGAGAAACTGAAACTTGAGTATAGATTCCATCACGTAAGTAACGATGCGATACCGATACCAACGTGGTATCGACGCTATTGATACTTTGGATTGATCCGCCCACCACCACAGACGCATAAACAGAGTATTATAGCAGGAAATCTTCACTCTGGTCGGAGTTTTTTTTGAAAGAATCGTTTTAATGCTGTAAGTCTGCGCTTTTATGTGGATGACTGGTCAAATCGTAGAAAAACATCTTGATTTTGTGAGATACCCTTCTACCTGTGGACAAAGCCTAATTCACACACTCCAGAGGAAAACCCCAATGGTGGCAAGTATGTTGGATTTAGGACCCATTTACTGCAAGTATTTGTTCTAGTGCAAGAAGATGGTGATGAGTCAGTGTATTACTATAATAAATACCATTTGGGGCTTTACTGTACATTGTTCTGACTGCTGTTCTTTCTCAATTTGCAGATTAAAGTTTTAAACACCGTGTTAACACACATATGATAAAAAGAAATGGTGTTTGACAAAGTGCTTCAAGTTTTGAAGAAATATTTTGCTGCTAATGCTTATGCAAAAATGGAAGTCTCACAATTGTAATGTGTTTTTTGTTTGATGTCCATACTGTTATTGTTATTATTATTTTTAAAGGACTGCAGTACTTACTCCCCTTGTGGTAACACCTAGATCGTGTAGAGACAATTAAAGAGGTCAAACGAGACGCATGTTAAGCATACTTAACATTAAAACAACTTTTTTTGTTTGTTTGTTTTATAAATTTCAGTTTAATAATTAGATATCACTCAAATTTCCTTAAAATATGTGGAAATACTAGTTGGAGCAACTTGATTTTTATGAATAATCAACAAAAAAACTTGTTTTTAAGCAGCCAATTATGAAATTAGTTGTAATTTAAATACTAGGATTTAATTTATTTATTGGTTGAACATAATTTCATTAGGAGCTGTCAAAAGTAACAAAGATTGACGTAACCTGTTGCACTATTTAAAAAAAACAGCTGTGATTTAATAAGAGACACTGAATCAGTTTGGTAGGTTTTCAAATCCAAAACTGAAGTTTATTTATTTGATAAAGCAAGTAGTTTGCATAAAATATCCTTTTTTGTCAGCTGTCAGTGTGAAATAGCTTTGTATTGTGAAATTCAGACTGCTGTTACTGTCAGTGCTCAAATAACAAGGAAACTGTGGTCAAGCTTTCATTTCTACAAAACGATTTATTTAAATTTAACAGCAGGTCAGTGTGTTTTTTACACTTACTCACATTTATACTGATTCATCAAAGACCCACAACCTGACATTCCGCAGTTCCTTGTTTTTTTGTTGTTTTTTCTTTGTGGGCGTCTTTTGTTTGTGATTGGTTCATGTGACTAATCGTGAGATTTTTTTTCCTGCATTTGCTCACTCAGAGTTTTAAATAACGACGACCTGCAGCTCCAACATGAAGCTCTCTGCTATTTTAATCCTGCTGCTCCACAGCATCGGTGCTGCCGCACAATGTAAGGATGACTTTCACATTTACTCTTTTCATATATTAGGTCATGATTTAATTTATTAGAGAGAATTTAAATTGCTGAGGTTTGAACAGAAGCAACTTGGTCGTCAGATTGTACAGTTACACCCAAAGCTATTCATACTTGTGCCAAATTTTACATTTATAGTGATTTACTATTCCTTGGACTTTATCATGATGCTTCAAACTGTGAACACTGGACCTTAAAAACACTTGATATGATCTTTATGGGCTTTAAATGTCTTGTGAGCAGCAACAATGTGTAACTTGCAAGACATCTGTGGTTTCAGTCATGACTTGTAACTGACCAGACAACTACTGAATCAGCTGTTCTCAGTTTATACTGCATTAGAACGCTCTAGAACTGGTAGAAATGACCAGATACCAGTATTTTGAATGGTATGGAAGTTGCATTTTCTTACAAACAATTTGAAGGGTATGAATAATTTTGGATGTGGTATTTTTGCTAAAATTCATCATTACCATCACTAAAACAGTGTCTTCCTGTGTTTATGATATTTCCAGCCAGAAGAAACCTGTTGGTCAAACAAAACTTCATTGTAAATCAAAGTTTGGCACAGAATGTGAATAATTTGGGGTTCGTCTGTATTTATGTCCTTTGTTTCTATTTTGTTTTTTTTTAGTCACCCATGAAATCGCCTACGTTGTTGGCTGCTTTGAAGATGACACAACCGAAGCACAGTATGAATTTGATGGTGAAGAGATTTTGTATGTGGACTTCAGCAGAGAGGATCTTGTGTACACCGTTCCACAGTATTTTGTGCCGGACCCCATTGAGGAATTCGGAGATTTGAATCTATATAAGAATGCTCGGGAAGCCAAGAGGGCGTGTGCAGGGATACTTACATACTTAAAGCTGTCAATGCATCCAGAAGAAGAGAAAGGTAAAACATGTTTACTGTGAGCTGTTTTTGAATCACTTTGACTCATTTTGTAAGAATTTTGTGTCATTTTAGACGTTAATTGATCATTCTCGACATTTTGAGTCAAACTGTGGACTTGTTCCAGGTATTTTGGACACTTCTGAAATCGTTTTTGAGCAAGTTCCAAGTCATTTTGAGCACTTTGGAGTAATTTTCACCAATTTTGTGTCACTCTGGAAAGTTTCAAGTCATTGGTGACACTTTTTTAACTTACTTTGTACAATCTCAGCACTGTGACGAATTCCTGATGAAGGTTTTTATTTGTGGTCTGACCCACCATAGATCCTCCTGAGAGCGTCCTCTACCCTGCAGAAGAAGTTGTTCTGGGAGTTGAAAACAGCCTCGTCTGCTTTGTGAACCATTTCTACCCTCCTTCCATCAACGTCACCTGGACTAAAAACAATCATCCGGTGACGGAGGGGGTGTCGCTCAGTCGATATTATCCCAACAGCAATCAAACCTTCCACCAGTTCTCCACGCTGACGTTCACGCCGAGTGAAGGCGACATTTACAGCTGCACGGTGGAGCACTCGGCGCTGGAGACGCCCAAAACAAGATTCTGGGGTCAATATTTCACCTCATGAAGGCACTTTATAGTAAAAACTGTTAAACTGTCTCCATTATAATCCACATTCTCTTTGTCTTCCTTTACAGATGTTGAACTACCTAAACATCATCAGAGTGTCGTAGCAGATGTTTGCTGTGGAGTCGGACTGAGTCTGGGCTTGTTGGGAGTTGCAGGTGGAACATTTTTATTTGTTAAAGGACAACATCAATAACTGAATCACTTTAAAAGCAGCCACAGTCATGTTCAGGTGTTTGCTTTTGCAGACAGACTGATGAACATGAAGACTCAATCAGCTTTTTATGCAACTCAGTTGATTAAAACCTAGAAACTGCTCAGTTCAACATTACTTCCTAAAATAATTATGAAGATTCTTATGTCCAAAGTGTCTTTGTTCTGTGTTCATACAGCTTTTAGTTTCTGGTGGCTGCAGATTCAGTTTTACATTTTCAGTGACACTGGACAAGTTTCAACTAATTTTGGATGAATTTTGCATCATTTTGGATGAATTTTGTGTATTTTTGAACACTACTTAAGTAATTTAGGAAAGATTGGAGTCACTGGTGATAGTTTTGAGACATTTCGGAGTCAAGTTCTACACTTTGAGTGATGTTTGATAATTTTTTTGTAATTTTTGAAAGTTATTTGGGATAGTTTCAAATCTTGGGTGACAAGTTTTTAACTTATTTTAGGCAATTTTTGTGTCATTTTGGACACTTTTTCCATAGTTTGGAAAGTTCCGAGTCATTAGTGACTGTTTAACTTACTGTGGACAGTTTTACGACATTTTGTACACATTTCTATGTCTTTTGGGACACACTCATTTTGGAAAGTTGTGGGCTCAGTCTTGCATTCTGAATAATGTTGGACAACTTTGAAATCATTTTGGGAAAATTTTTTGTTATTTTGACTCTTTTCGAGTCATTTTAGATTCACTTTGGGTGATTTTGAACAGTTCTTATGTCAACATGAAAAGCTTCAAGTCACTGGTGACAGTTTTAACTTACATTGGACAGGTTTCAAGACATTTTGGACACGTTTTGAACAACGTTTAAGTTAATTTGGACACCGAGTCATTTTGACAAGTATCAAGTGTCAAGTGAGGCCAAAGACTGACATCCCAGAAGCAACCACGAACAAAGAACACGGGCCCTGCATAAGTAATATAAAATACTCTATGATAACAGGTGCTGTAATCTGGGGTCTGTTTTAAGTTTGAAATAGTAATTTTAACATTGTAATAAATGAAAGGTGATTTCTTGTAACCACTGACTTAAAGCACATGCATAAATGTACATGAGAGGAGAAGTGAAAATGTCAAGAGAGCAAGAAAGGTCATTGTCCTCAAAACAGGTCATGTCTGAACATGTTTTATGAGGCCACTGTCCTCAGTATGAACTCATTGTTAAAGCAGCTCTTTTGAAAGATAAAGATAAACTTTATTGAGCCCACAGAGGGAAAAGTTCACCGTTACAACAGATTAAAAATGAAAAAGTGTAAAGTCAGTGCTAGAATAATTTAGAAACACACAGTGCAACAACTAAAATTACAGAAGAAAAACATTATATACAGAAGATTTTTTTTTGTTTGTTTTTTTTTAAATTAGACTATATACACAAGGATGAGGTAGTAACAGTTATTGCACATAGTGGAATGCGTTTGTTGGAGGAAAAAGTGCAGCAGTAACAGAGGTGCCAGTGGGGTCTATAATGCATTGTAAAGTCTGACTGATGTTGGAATAAAGAACCTGCGAGAAAGAGAAACGTTCCTTCTTACACTTTGGGTGTAGCAGTCTGTCACTGAACGACCAGCATGTATCCTGTGATTTCCAAACTGTGCTCTTTCTTGCTACTAAACAAGTGATGAGATGCTAAGCTAATGATAAACTCATCATGAGTAAGGGTTAAAAGGCGAAGCATCTATTAGAAATGTGTAATCATGTGTATGTGTGAAGGATAAAACTGTGTAATAACAGTAGATATGTGGAGGGGGAGAGTTGTGTTCAGTATAAAAAGGCACCGGACCGGACCAGGAGACCGGAGGATGCTGACAGAACTCTTTGTGTGCAAATTGGAGAAGTCACAGCGGAGCTGTGTTCTGCTTGAAGAAAGACTTCGCTTCTTCCCCAAGTTGGATACAAAAGAATTGCGGATCTGATCGGAGTCAGGACTTCTCATCTCCCCCTGATTCAGGAGGGTTCTGTCCGGCATCAGGACTCTGTACTGGGTTGCTGAACCATCGGAAGAGGAATCCTCCAGGCTCAGATCTAAACAGGGCAGAGTTGGCCAGCAAAGGCCGAGCTGTCCGGCTCTCACCCTCCCTACATTACATATTAGGCTTTTACTTTAGAAAAGCTCAGTTGTATAATTTTATCTGAACTGATCAATTTGAATCATGCTTTGATAATGTTTGAGTAATAAATCAAGAGTTGCTGCTTTCATCCTACGAACAGTTTGCAATAAATATTAAATCCTGCATTTAAAGACTACTTGTTTGAAATTTTATTTAATTATTCATGGTATCTGATGGTAGGAAAAAGTTAGACAATTCTAAGCTCTTTTTCGTGGTTCCTAAAGGTTATTCTAAGTCATCCATCCATCCATCCATCCAGTTTCTTCTGCTTATCTGGGGTTTCAGGTCGTGGAGGCAGCAGGCGGAGCAGGTCACTCTAGACTGGAAGTCTCGTGAACAAGATACTTAAACTCCCTTGCTTGTGGAAGCTACTCTACTCGCAAGGCTGACTGAAAGTCCTTCTCCATATCCTCCCCAAACTCCTCCCACATCCGAGTTTTAGCTTCCACGACCACAGCAGCTGCAGCCCTTTTGGCCAGCCAGTACCTGTCTGCTGCTTCAGGAGACCCCGGAGCCAACCAGGCCCAAAAGGTCTCTATCTTCAGCCTGACGGCTTCCCTCACCAGCAGGTTTTGGGCTTGCCGCCGTGACAGGCACCAGTGACATTCTGGCCACAGCTCTTAACGGCCGCTTCTGCAATGGAGGCTTTGAACATGGCCCACTCTGACTCCATGTCCCCAGCCTCCCTCAGGATGCAGGAGAAACTCTTCTGGAGGTGGGAATTGAAAACCCCACGGACAGCCTCCGCCAGACGTTCCCAGTTCACCCTCACTATGCATTTGGGTTTACCTGGTCTGTCTAGCAGCCTTCCCCGCCATCAGATCCAACTCAGTTGACAGCTCTGCCCTTCTCTTCACCCGAGTGTCCAAAACACACGGCAGGTCTGTTGACACGACTACAAAGTCGATCATCGACCTTTGGCCTAAGGTACTCTGGTACCAGGTACACTTATGACTTATTCTAAGTCATGAGTAAAATAGTATTTTTAAACATATCCCTGTGGCAAGTTTTCCCAAACCTCCAGATTTTACCCTATCAGTTACCAAGTGCTCGATTAAGAGGGAAGCTGCCATCAACAAGTGTGTCTAGTAGAGTGATTTGACTACTGAGGCTACCGAGTTGGGTCAATTATCAGAGGAAGTGGGGTAGACGTTTGGATTAAGGCAGTTAGAAGCTAGGCAAGTTTCCTCGACACTAGCTTCAGTAGTTTTACAGAATCCTATCAGGTCAAGAACCTGTAGGCAGGTAGAACCTGACCCTAGAGACAGAGAGCTGGACCAGTGGCCCTGTCACAGGGGTTTACCGGCACAGATCAACACAAGTCATTGGTGACAGCTGTACTTTACAGATTAAACTTCAGAAAATGACAACAATATAAAATATATCCATTCATCCATCATTATTATATGTTATGGTGTAAAATTGTGGCTAAAAATGTTTTTTCTTTATGTAAAATTACTGTATTTCGATGAGATGATTATTTTTATTTTTTTTATTTTATTTTTTTTTACAGTACTTCTTGACAGCGTAGCTTGAGCTACACAAGCCTCAAAATAAAAATACTGCTTATATGCTAATCAGTCATGAAAACTCAGTGGTGATAATGACACAATGTCTGTATTAATATAAACACATTTTTATAAGCACATTTTCATGACATGACAGGACTGTTAATTGTCCTGAAAGTCTGAGATGTAAAATGTAAAAGGTAAGAAACATTGTTATGACATGAAGCACAGTGGTGGCAGCATCATGATATGAAAATGGGTTAAAAACTTGTCAAAAATTACTTAGAAATTGTCCAAAATGATTCAAAACCGCATTAATACTTGCTAGCTAAACCTTCTTCAATGCTCTTAGTTCTCCAACATGAACTTCCTGTCCGCCAACACGAACTATTAAAAACATGAAAAATGTACTCAGATATAGAAAGTATTGTCAACATCTTCAATCCTCATTTCCTTTTAGATAAAGGGTAAGGACACACCTAAACACACCAAATACACACCTAAATTATCATATTTTTGGGGTAACTGTATGTGTGTATGCTTGTATGTATGTATGTAATTATGTATGTACAGAGTATGTACTGTAATTTAAGAGTAACCACATTAAAATAGTTCTGAAAAGGGGTCCAAAAGAAACATTCAGTGATTGTGTAAACAAACATATTCTAAAAAGCAATGTGTCAACAACAATCTTGCAATACTGTTATGTCAGCCCCTTTGTAGCAGGACCTGCATTGTACATACTTCCACAAAGCAACTAACGATTATCCTAAATATAGTCATAGTACTGTTATATCTTACAGGTGAAAGGTGATACCACAGGCTCTGGTTTCAACACAATGGCGATTAGAGCATCCGTAGGCTGCACAAAAGTCTGGCATCTTCACTCAGCAATTTTCTGTAGGAATCATACCCAGCGCCAACAGCTGTTCCCGAGTGTAAAACGATGGAGCTGTGGCTCAACGGCTCAACGGCTCGTCAGATGCGGACTTTAAAAATTCGTAAAAAGTAAAACACAGATTAAAAAGCTTCCTTGGCATCTCCATCATATTCATGCTGATCTAGGACAACTACATGAATATAATAATATTAAAACTATAATAGAAAAAACAAAGAAAATAGCTAAAAATACAGAAAGTAGGTAGGAGCCGCTGCAACTGGCTGCTACTCTCACAGCGTGATAGGAACAATTTGTATTTTAATTATATTGTATTTTATTTGTATTTTTGTCATTTGAATTGTAGCCACGTTAATAACGTTCGTAAGAAACCAAACCGTTTGTAAATCCGTCAAGATTTCAGCGAGACAAGAGTATTTACGTTTGTGCAGATCACTCATCTCCCTTCACATACCGCAGGTTCTGTCAGAGAGCTTTCCCGTGTCAAGATGGCCGCTAGGGATGCCGTTCAAGACTCCGCCTTAAGACATCTAGCCTTTATTATACATATCTATGAACACCACGCCCACTTATGTGTCCCACCTGCTTATAAAAACACTTGGCTGCTTCACTTCCTCGTGTTTCCAGATCGAGGTCAGTCTGCTTCCTTTTTTGTCCATTTGTCATCACCAGTTTATCAGCATGAGGGTTCACGGATTTTTGTCCCTGCTGGGTGTTTTCATGGTGTTTTCAAGAGCGGGTAAGTAACTTTAAACAGAACACAAAAAAGCTTTAACATCTCTAAATTTTAGAATGTGCTGTGTCGGAGTAACAGAGAATTTTTCTAATCCTTGTTGTTGTGGTTGTTACAGACGCTCTCTTTGGTCACGGTGTGCTTCGTTGCCTCTTCACATCCACCGAAGACGTCCTTTATCTGGAGCAGGTCTACTATAACAGGTTGCTCTTTGGGCAGTGGAACAGCACTTTGGGAAAGTACACCGGCTACAACGAGAAAGCAAAGGAGATTGCAGACGCGCTCAACAAGGACAAAAAATTCTTGCACCAAGAACAGAGGAATTTCAACAAATGCAAATCCCTCATCCCACTGGTGTTTGACAAGCTCTCAAAACCAGGTAATTTGGTTGATAATGCTTCAGAGTACAGCAGCCTATAAATGTATTATGTCTGTGATATAAAATACCCATAAAAGTGCTGAGAAAGAAGACGACAGGTGAGTAACTGGGAGACAAATTCACGTTTAGGAGAGATTTACAGGGAAAGTTAATGCAGAAAATTACTGTTACAGCTTAACAAAAGCACAACGTTGGAGGAAATATTTAAATCTTTTTCTGAACTGAAAGACACGACAGCAATCACATCAGCTAACACTAATATAATTCCAAAATGTTAATAAACAGATCTGTAAATCACAAACTGTGGATGATTTCTGTTAAAATAAATTGTCGGTCAGTTGTTAATGCGGAGATATTTCTGAGAATGAGAAACATTATTATCCATTTGGTGCTTCTGTTAACCTGGTGGACTTAAAATATTCACTCTCCTGTAAATAATTTCTAACATAGTGATTATTTATTTATGTTTATATGTACATTGCCTGTATTTCTAGTACAAAGTTGTCACACTGTGTTGTCTTTTCCTCATGTACGTACTAACTACTTACATTATATTTTTCAAGGTTGTAATCTAAGAAACAGAAACAAATGCTATTTTCTTTTCTGCTAAATGGTTTTATCTGTGGGTATTGTCCTCCAGTTGAACCTACTGTGAAGTTGACCTTAGTGAAGGCAACAGGAGGCCGACATCCCAACATGCTCGTCTGCAGCGCTTACGATTTTTATCCCAAACTCATCCAACTGTCGTGGCTCAGGAACGGAAAAGAGACGAAAACTGATGTGTTGTCCACCGACGAGCTGTCCAATGGAAACTGGTTCTACCAGATCCACTCCTACCTGGAGTTTACCCCATCACCTGGAGAGAAAATCAGCTGCAAGGTGGAGCACGCCAGCCTCATGGAGCCCAAACTTTACGACTGGGGTGAGATAGTGAGGCAAACATGGAGGTAGAAGACATTTGGTAAATTTGCATGTAAATCTAATGCACGGTTTGCGATAAATGTGTTTTCAGAACTATTTGATGAATCCGAGAGGAACAAGTTTGCTGTTGGAGGTGCAGTGCTGCTGCTGGGTTTGCTGGTTTTTGTTGCTGGGCTGATTTTCTACAAGAGGAACTCAACAGGTGAGAAACAGGACAACAAAAAAAACTCAAAAATACACAAAAAGTCATGGTCTCCAGTGTTTGTGCTGGTTAAATGTGTGCAGTGATGAAACTGCCACTGTGTCTGTAATTTGTGTTTTAAGATTTGTTGATTTCAGGATGAACAACCCATTGCACCATTCTGCATGATTCTGCAAAAGTGGCAGAATATTTACGATGTTACTGTTTTAAATCA